GAATTAAATACGTACCAGGAATCATGTGTTACAATACCGCACACACAATCCACAATCCACATATCATATTAGCTATAAAAGCTACATATACCACATAAGCCATGCATACTAACATATAAGGATGTCGTGGGCTCCCCTAGGGTCTTATACTTTCATGCCGTGGGCTCCCCCACATGGTCTTATATCCAACTGCCACGGGCTCCCCCCGGGGTCTTCCATGCAATAACATACATAAACAACTAACATATCATATATCACAAAATTATCTATCATACTACATAACACATACATAAACATATAAGGATGCCGTGGGCTTCCCCCCAGGGTGTTATACCATCATGCCATGGGCTCCCCCCACATGGTCTTTACCTAGGAATGCCATGGGCTCCCCCACATGGTCTCATATCCAACTGCCACAGGCTCCCCCCGGGGTATTCCATACAAATATCATATAATCACTAGCATACCACTTAGCATAAAGCTAACTATCATACCACATATCCCTACTACAGCTAGTGTACCACATAACATAAAATGGGTCGGCCTTGGTGCCTTAGACTCATTGGTATGGTGAGAAGACTCACCTATCACGAATGTTGAACTGACAAGCTAGACTCAGATATATCCCACGTGCTGCTCCAACTCAACTGTCTATAGCATCATAAGATAGACTTGTCATCATCCCAAAATCATCCTCAAATTCAACCCTGGTCAACCTTGGTCAAAGTCAAGGTCAACAATCCATGTTGACCTCAACTCGTCGAGTGCATCTAGCGACTCCTCGAGTTCCTATCGAGTCCAGAAAACCTGGTCAAACCCTAGCCAACTCGCCGAGTTGTTTCATCAACTCGACGAGTTCACTTGATATCCAGAAGGCGGGGACACCCAATCCGACTCGTCGAGTTACTAGGGCAACTCGTCGAGTCCCCCTTCCTGTTTGCTTGTTATGATGATACACTGAATGCAGGGACTCCAGGGCTTGGATCTGAAGCCCTAAGGTATCTAGAAGGATAAAGTTTCCAACTTTACCCTCTAGAACCATTCCAAATGCTCTAAGGCCCTTATCAAAGGTTGGAAAGCTTTAAAGCTTTGCCATAAAGTCCAAAACTCTAGGGATCTGGAATCCCTCCTTTCCAGAAGAGTTTCTAGTCCTCAAAACGTTCCAAAGATGGAGGCTTTATGGACATGCATGTCCAATGCATGTCCTTAGGTCAAAATGGCCAAAAAGAGGGAAATATGCCCTAAAAACCCTAGCATGGCGTCCTTGCTTGACCAAAGGCTAGATCTAGCCCACCTTGGGACCATTTTTCCCTAGAGATCCATAAAGTTGCAAACTTTATGAACCCCATGCATGCAATCAACAAGAAGGATAGGAAATGAAGAGTAAACTCAAGATCTAGCCATATTCTAAGATAAAAATCGAGTCTTGAAGACTTACAACAGTCCACAAGATGGTCAAGCTCAAGAGTGAGGGCTTGGTTTGCTGGATCTTCTCCTTCTTCTCACTATCTCCTTCTTCTTAAGCTTCAAAAGTCACTCTAGCTCACAAAATGAAAGAGAATGGGGATTAGGGTTTAGCATAGATGTTCTTAGGGTTTAGAGGCTGATGAAAGGTCAGCCTCAAGGTTCTTAAGGAGATTATATACGATGCAAACCCTAAAATTAGGGTTTTCTCTCTTCAGCTCCTACTCGCCGAGTCGATACTTCCGACTCGTCGAGTAGGTCCTGCCCCCGCGTCCATGAGATGGCCTCTACTCGACGAGTTGGGGCATCCACTCGCCGAGTCCATGCACAAACCCTAAAAATTCATGTAAATTACTTAATACCTGAAACAGGTGTTACAGGTTGGGGTTGAGAAAAGAATTGAGTTTCTTGAACCGTTTCAAACGGATCAAGATCCACATTCGGACGAGGTGTTGGTTGAGATTGGTTGAGGTAAAATCCCATTGGTTGAGAAGAGTACATATTAAATGGAAACATTTGCAGACCCATTGTAGGATAGTAGAAGCTGGTGGGAGAGTGAATTGGTTGATCAAATGATATTAAAGATTTTGTTAATTGATGTACTTGTATAAACAAAGGACATGGAGGTGGGTAGGAAACTTTATCATATATGTCAAATAAAAAATTCAATTTAAATATGAAACATTCAATTTTTAATCAAAGGAGCCAAAAGCAATCCGCAATCACTGAGTCAAAAACATTCCACCAATCAGATTTGTTCATACTTCTTGCTTTGTGCATGGTGTCTTTCAGGTGGCGAGCCCCCTAGCGAGAGCTAGGTGGCGAGCCCCCTAGCGAGAGCTAGG